TATCCAATGGACCAGCGGCTGTCGAAGCCTACCATGCTCCACCTATAACTAAAACATCCCTTTTAGGGGGACAGATCTTCTAGGTGGATTGAGTTACAACACATACCCTTAAATAAAGATTACAAAAAAGGCTCTGAATTTCCTTTATGTATTTCCTAGTACACATTCTACACTTTGGTATTGAGCCCAATGTGGTGCCAATACATTACTGCTCCACAATGCTTGGCAAAGATTTGTCCATATATAAAAGAAGGCTGGTGGGCTTCGTGTGCCAAGCTGTGTTTTCACTTCAGTCTGGTCCAGCAGAGAATAATAACTATTGGCAATTGGCCATGGTAAGCACTAGCTGTATTTAGAAAGGGCAATGTAACATAGCACCATACCAAATTTTACAACCCATTATACAGTTAAAAAAAAGCTAGTGAATTTATCCGCTCTCTCATTGCTAGAAAGGAGGACCACAATGAGGTTTCTAGTGTTTACATAAATAATAGTAATAAAACTTCCTACAATTTGGATTGACTGAACAAAATGGCTTGCTCCTACAAATCAAAACATACTGACATAATGGTGTTTGTATGACTGTGGTGGGGACATTCAAGAGAAAGTTCTCTAGAGTGACATCAGTAGGTCTATGTACTTCCCTTACACAGCTATGAAATATGTCAGTTCTAAATAAATTCTATGAAAATATTGGTCATACAGACAAAATGGCTTCCCCCATGGTCTTGCAGAGCCTTCTGGGACTTGTAGTTTCACAACAGCTGCTGAGTGTCAGGATCCAAAAGCGATTTAATAGACTAGTTAACGGGTTCAGGAGGGAGGGGTACAAAAGAATGAAAAGCTAGCATTCCAAACCAACTAACAGACTAGTTAATGAGGGCTATAAATGAGGGGAGGGAGATTCCAGACTGAAGTATGTGGGGGGATTACTTTTACTGAGCTATGGAACAGGTTGGAGCCATAGTAAACAATTGTAAAAAAAAAAAAAAAATTCACCCATGAGTCATTTCTACTTTTGCGAGCAGGAAAAAAAACAAAAAGCACAATTAATACAGAATGCTGCCTCTGATTAGCGGTCAATGACCGAAGTGTCAAAAAAGCCCCTCTAAATACAAAGCTGTGCATGGGCAGGTTAGTATTTCTTCTCACAAGAGGGAAAAATCCAACTGGTTGCAAGTAGATTTTCCAACCAAACTTGATGCATATCAATTCTAGTTGTGGGAATCACTCATCATCAACCCCTAAGACAGTCCCTGAGTGCCCAGCCCTTACACTAGTGTGGAACGGAACGCCCAGCCCTTGCCCTAGTGTGGAACGGAATGCCCAGCCCTTGCCCTAGTGTGGAACGGAATGCCCAGCCCTTGCCCTAGTGTGGAACGGAATGCCCAGCCCTTGCCCTAGTGTAGAACGGAATGCCCAGCCCTTGCCCTAGTGTGGAACGGAATGCCCAGCCCGTGCCCTAGTGTGGAACGGAATGCCCAGCCTGTGCCCTAGTGTGGAACGGAATGCCCAGCCCGTGCCCTAGTTTGGAATGGAATGCCAAGCCCGTGACCTAGTGTGGAACGGAATGCCCAGCCCGTGCCCTAGTGTGGAACGGAATGTCCAGCCCTTACCCTAGTGTGGAAGGGAATGCCCAGCCCTTACCCTAGTGTGGAACGGAATGCTCAATCCTTACCATAGTGTGGAACAGGTAATTTTAGATCTAATTGGTTCCAACCAATTACAATTAAGAACTGAATGCCCAGCCCTTACCCTAGTGTGGAACTGAATGCAATCTTTACCCTAGTGTGGAACGGAATGCTCAATCCTTACCATAGTATAGAACAGGTAATTTTAGATCTAAATGGTTCCAACCAAAGAAGTTATCTGCAAGGAGATTGCTAGCTTGCTTGGTACCCTCCCAATACCCAAACACATACTGGTAGGTTAATTAGCTCCAGCCCAACTTGCACTCGTCTCTCTCTGACTGTGGTAGAGACTGTAACTTCCTTCGTGGACAGACACTCATGTAAATGACACTCTGTGTACTGTGTTTGCACTGAATAGATTAGTTAAAATAAATTCAGATAACAAGCAATTTCAGTAGGCCAACTGCTGATGCTAAATATTGCAATTGTGCTTAATTCAGCCTTCACCTGTGATGTGTGTTCTATATTATCTAAATGCAAATAGATACTGTTTCCTAATTAAGCAGTGTATGGGTTGGGGCTGTAGTCTTTAGTTACACGATTCTGTGCTGTAGAACCTTTATAGATTAGCCAGCAAGGGGCAGAATTGACAATAACTGGCACATATTTTTGCACGGCTTAGGTGACAGTATTGGCAGAACTCCTGGCTATAAGAAGCGTTTGGTAGCGGATGAGCTGGTACCCTACAGATATTCTGAAATACCTGGCCGTGTCACCTTGGAGTGGATTTTACATAATTGACTTACACTTTTAAAGATCGGGCTATCAAATTAAAGCTCTAAGTCAGCTGGGCAGGGGGAACTTTATGTATGGCAATCTATAGGGCTTCTTACATGGATGGTGGAACACAAAAATAGGCATCCCTCCCAAAGCTTTAAAAAAGGATAAACTGCCTCAATAAACCCTGATGCCACCTAAAAGGAGGAGAAAAAAAAATCATTGCATATCAAGGCACTTCAGATTCCACTAATATGAACTACAATGTGATTATTCCTTTAAAATCATGTTTCAAATGAACCTCTAACATTGATTATAGCCCAAAAGCAGCAGGAGGGATGTGTGCACAGAGGGTCAGTACTGCGGCGTGTCAGTGTGCAGCTGTAGGACTAATGTCTGTGTCTGGCCGTCTGTGTTCCCCCTCCTCCATCTCTCCCAGCTGGATGGATTTAGCAGGAGTCATTTCCCAGGTGAGGACTGAGATTCTCCAGACCGAAGGCAGTCACATCCCACACATTACAGCTCCATGGAGAGCAGCAATCCCATCACTGTCCTGACAGCTGCCTCAGCAGTCATGGCTTAAAGCATCAGTCCACCTAAGCAGAACAGATATGGGTCTATATTGGCAGGAGGAATCAACCACTGACTTCATAGGTGCTTTGTAGACTCCGGGAGAGAGATGTTCCCAGCTCAGCCAGTAAAAAGACCAGCAAGGAAGACTTGCTGTTGCTTCCGAGTCTTTTCATTTAAAGCTGAACTCTGGAATAAACAAATATTGTCTAAATATAAGAGGAGTGTGTATTCCTACTTGAATCTTGGTGGGCTTTGTGTATTTCTTCCAAATATGTGTAGTGATCCAGTGATAAACGGTCCATACACCTTGCGATCATTCGTCCGATGATCGAACCGTCGTACGATTTTCGTACGGTGGCCCCATTCTGCCCCGATCGCAAGGTTCAATCAGCTGTAGTTTAAAAAAACACCTTGACGAATTGCGGTAATTGACCGCACGTATTTTCGTTTGCACATGTGTAGTGTTAATCGTACGAATTTTTACGTACGGAAACGTCAACAAACCTTGCGAAAATCGATCGATCGAAGTTTTGTAACCTTCTGGATAGTCAAAAAGTCGATCGATTGTACAGTATTTGCTGTTGTACACTGCCCATCAACCTTACGAATATTGGACGAAAACGCAATCGCATACGAAAAAGGGTAACTGGTCTTGTATCTGCCCCCTCCGGTAGTTTTCTGCAGCCTGTTCTCCACACAGGCTATGTACAGCATAGTGATGATGTCATCGCTACATTTACAAGGTAATATCTGGGTTGGGGAAGGCATATGGTATGCACAAAATAGAATTATATCCCAGCTTTGGAGGAATATATTAAAATTAAAAGTTTTAGTTCCTGTATATTTTCTTTCTGAAATTACACTGAATATCAAATGCAAATCGAGAGACGTACACAAAGCCGTATACACAAATCCGTGAACACACAAGCAATTTGAATATTTAATTTCACATTGCATGTCAGGAATAATCATCAATATTGTCAGGCAACTGAACAATCAAGCCCGTTTCTGCACAGAAGTGGGGAATGGGTAAAGCGAAAAACATTAACAGAATGTGTTAGTTGGGAAAAATGACAACATATTGTCTAGGAATGAATCTAAATTTATGAAAATGTGGAGTCTTGGCTCTCTAGTAAGTAAGCCGCAGCGCCAAAACGCCACATTCTCAATAAATGAGGCCGTGCATCAGCTGAATCTTGCAAAGCATTAGTCAGACACACGCATACCGCGGAGGCAGAAGCTACGTTGGTGTAATGTAGGGGCTAACATAAATCTCTGAATGGGAAAAAAAGAAGGATTAATGAACATGTTTATCAGAAATAAACCTAAAACTCAACGGCCATTTATCTGGTGCACATAAAGATGTGTACACAGCTGGCGACAATACTCTGGTACACTGTGGCAGTTCAAGCAATGCTCGCTTGATATTAAACAACTACTCCAGCCACAAAAAAAACCTACCCTTGCAGTAGGGCTACCCCCGCACTGCAAGGGTTAAATGCTTATTTTGTCTAAGGGAACACTATTAAAAGGTGTTTTACATACCTGATCCTCAGTCCTTTCAGGCTGCTAGACTGGTCCTGGCAGCCCTTTCTCCCCTTTGCTCCGACCGCTGTGGGTGCCAGAATCCAGTAAGCAAAGCAGCTTCATTTGAGCCCCCTACACAAAACCAGCACATAACCTCTGCAGTGTGGGGATAGCCCCACTGCAAGGGTAGGTTTTTTTAGGCTTCATAAAGCTTACTAAAATTGTCAGGTTATCTGTGACCGTTTTCTACGATTTTAAGGCTAAATTTGGCAACATTCAGTTGCTTTTTGAAAGGCCCAATGCTGTGCCAAGCAAACAAAACCAATGCCATTACACTGCCACCAGCCAGGATGGGTTGAGGGATTTCCACAGAGCCTACCATCAGCTCCTCTTAGCAGAAGTAGAGATTCATCAGAGCAGACAATGGAGACCGACCCACAAATAATTAAGACACTTGTATGCCATTGGAATCTGATAGAAAGAGGCACCTACCTGCTATGAAGCACACACCATCCACAGTGAGGGTCCCCAGACCCCAGGCAGGCAGCACATGTGTTGTATCTCTGGCAGCTCTCTACAGGAACTCGGCTGACCTGTGGAACGGCCATTTATTAGATAATCACAATCACCTACATAATGGAAAAAGCTATTTTGTGTGCTGGACAAGCAACCTATAGGACACCTGACATAATTCTCAAGCCAACAGTTGTACGTTTGCTCTGATGCTTCCAGTAACAAAGGATGGTTGGTAAAGAAAAATAATATGATGGCTGCTATAACTTAGGAGCACAGTTCTTTTTTTCACACACTTTCCTGCAAGAGGTCCTTGGAAGGTGGACAAATATGGAATCCAGGAGCCAGGCTGTCCAATCCAGGAACCAACCAGGATTGATAACATTGAGAGAAAACCTCAAAAAAGTTAGGTGCCAGTTGTACTTGTAGGGAGCATTGGCTACCTGGCTCCTAGGATTTGTCCATCCCTGGTATAATCAGTTCATAATTTGGCTGCCACCATGATAAACATTGTTAATAATGATTAAAACCAACATTTATTATACGAGCTTGCTAGCAATGTTGAAACTCACGCTGGAGTGTTTTATGCCATGGATACAGTATGAAGCCAAATGATGGTGTCACACTTGCTACAATGGAGTCTCCATTATGCAGAAAGAAATAATTGGGCTAGTTTAGCAGGGGAAAAACCATCACCGAGACAAGCTACTGTGCTAGAGTCCCCAAAAGATCTGGCGATTTAAATGGATATTTCCGTTTTTGGGTGTAATATATAAATTTCATTTGACTATGCCAATGTCTCCCAAAGTCATTTTACTTTATGTTTTTACTTACCTGTTTCTCACTTAGTATGTACACAGACTGCCAGTCTGGACTAAATATCATATCCCGCAGTATTGGCTTTCCCGGCACAACCACGGCAGTGTCATACAGTACGGCATCTGCAGGGCTGTCCACGCGAATCTGTCACAACAAGCAGAGAAAAAGAAAAAAATAATAATAACAATGGAAATGAAAATGAGTGCCCACGGGACACAAGAGGCTTTTGTGTGCCCAGTCACTGTACACAGGCCGTCTCGTGTCCCTGCAAACGTCTGCCTGTTCATTCTTTTCCATCTTCCAACATGACAAACATCATTAGTATAAATGACTGTGAAACAGACTGTGACACATTTCAGGGTGTTTAGACACAGCAAAGGAGGTGGGGGGCTGTCTGAAGGCTGGGCACATACAATTAGGCTTGCCTGACCAAAGACAGCGGTTGGGGTTACATCTATGTGTATATGGATTGTAGTATATATTAAGTGTGTGCTGAAAACCTTGTTCATGGATGTTGTATATGTAATGGGAAGGAGGGAGCCATATTTTCTTATCACACATTGTAACACTGTACACTGCTGTTCCTCTCCCACAAATCAATGGAGCTAACCCTGATTGCAAACAAACTCCCTGGGCTTATCTCAGGAGCCATTTTGCAGAGTTGCTGATCATCTAGCATTTTCAGGAGGTTGTTAACAACGTTATCGCCTGTATTTCTTTCATTGCAAGCCCGACCGCAAACATTTGTAGGGAAAGATCGGAGGCTGTGGTGGTCTGTGTGTCTGTTGGAAAGATTTCCCCCATTTCCCGTCACAGAAGTGGTAACAGAGACGGGAATTGAGGAGACACAAGCAACCAAAACCTGACTGAGTTCTAATCCCTGTTAATCCAAAAACTAAAACTTAGTAAAGAGTTGTAGTTGAAATAATCAGGTTTGCTCTCTTCTATGGAATTCAACATTATGACTGTATGCCAGTATTTTTGTTTTTTAAATAATTGGGGGAAGGATCAGAACTAGTGATGCACTGATACCAGTTTTTTGGTATCAAGCATGAGCACCGATATTTTTTTTCCGGTACTTGTTGATACCGATATTGGAAGTCCCGTTAAGGAAGCCAGGCGGCGTGTAATGACTTGCCACCCGGCTTCCCGATTACCCAGGTTTAAGGAAGCATGGAGGCGGCTTTTTGGCCAATCAAGAGGCTGGGGGGCAGGTAATGATTTGCCGCCTGGCTTCATGATTGGCCATCTTCCCAACCAATCAGGAAGATGGGCGGCGAGTCATTACATGCCGCCCAGCTTCCCGATACTGGGAGTTCCGGTATCAGGCTAGTCATCAGGAGCATTTGGGAGAGTACGAGTCCTCGGCCAAATACTCTATCGGTGCATCCCTAAGTAGAACCTTTCTCAGGTTTTAATTGCCATGTCCCATTTTAAAAGATCTCCCTCATTTTGTTGTCTGAAAGCGAGAAGATCTCTCCTATGGAGATAAAATTCTATCCCTTCTCTGCTCTACCCAAAAAAAAAGAAGCTTTGTCTGGTATTCCATTTAAACCTTTGTATGAATACCAATAAAATTATATTCTATAGTTCTAAATACTTTTTTCGTCAATTTGTAGGCCATTTTTGAAATGCATTCATAAAAAAGTATATAACAAAAAAAAAACACTTGCAAAGAGGTGGATATTGCTATATTATATTTAGCCGAGACTTTCAGCTGATAAAAACCACCCACTACAAACAAAACAATTCCAAGATATGCAAATTAAGAAAAGATTACATGGTAGTTGATGGTGTTACTGTGGTAAAAGAAAAGGCATCAGAGATAAAGCCAGAAGGCTTCTGCCACTGACTTGATGAGGAACATTCTGAAATCATGAGGTAAAATGTTCATGTATTTTAATATAGAAAAATGTGTGTGTGGGGGGGGGGGCTTTTTTTTCTGTAAAAGGGGGCTGAAGAAAGCATGATTAGCACAGGAAAACAAGACAGTACAAAGCCCCATCGTGAGCCATTGTCATGTGTCTTGTTGCCCGAGGCCTAGTATAACGAAGGCCTCAAAAGAGGGCCGACGTACTGACAGCCAGGCATCCTCTTAATGATGGCATAAAATCATGATAGGAACTTCAAAAAGCGCAAACCCTGGACGATGGCTTTCTAAATTCAAGTAGAGCAAAAACATTTGAGGGGAAAAAAAAAAGACACCTTTCCATAAAGACATGCATATAAAATGGATACATAAATATTTATACATATACTGTTATATGCATTTTTTAAAAACACATCATATGCATACAGAACTGCAAATTAATGCATTTGCAAAAATAAAAATCAAATTCCATTCTTAGGTGAATTATTTCGATTTTTTGTTTTGCCAAAATGATACAATTCTTGCAGTGAGTTGGCTACACAGTATTCTCAACGGTTGCCTTGCTGTCTACAGCCATTTTGTATTGACATCAGTCAGCGGACTATGAGCACAGATGGCGAGTCAGTCAGCAAAAGGATCAGACAACACACAAGAAAGAAGCAAACCTGCAAAGACACACTTGTTATCAAAACATATACTGCTTGCTGGCAATAATGTATGCAAAAAAAAAAAAAAAGGTTTAATTATACTTTAAAAGGAGAATTATGAGGCGAGTGCTTTTGACTCATCCTCATAGTTCTAGCCGACCTGTGACAATAAGACTGTCACAGGTCGGCTCAGTAGATCGGGAAGTGAGCGAACACATACCGGCGTTTGCTCACTTCTCGATCCTGTCACGGCACACTGTCGTGACAGGGGAGTGGCTGGATTCCCCCCTCCCCTATCCTCCAGCGCTGACTGGCAGAACGGACGGGGGAGGTGGCGGGTACAGCTGGCTCTCACGCAGCTGGGCGGATCCAGACATAATTGTCGAGATCCGCTTCAGCGTCTCAGTATACCGCGAGCTGTAGCTCGCGGTATACTGAGCTTGGGGTGACGGGACGCCGCTAGTTTGTGTCCTCCCGTTACCCTAAGGAGAACTATGGGGAAAAGCCCTAACCCCATAGTTCTCCTTTAAGCTTTGAAAATGAAAGAGAAGCTGATTGGTTACTATGGGCAACTGCTCCAGACTTGATAAAAATCCCCTCTTGGTATCTATGTGGGTGCTATGGGTAACAAACCATTCCACTCAAATGATTAAACACAGGAAATTGTGTCCTATGAAGAGAATGCACAAATTCGGAATTCAACCACAAAACAGGCCGACTGCCCGACACAGCGGAAAGACTTCTTTAAGATATCCCTGTTCAAAAGAAACCTGATGCCCTCAGCTTACACCAAAACAAAAATAAAACTTCTTTCTTCAGTTTTCCAAATGTGTTTTCACAACATCTGTTATAAAGCAATTAAAATGTAATTGTTAGAATGTGTTAGCTATAAAAATATGTGACGAGGCCCGCTGTGGAAATCTCATGTGGGAGGGCTGGTTAGATTGAGGACAGGCAGAGATGTGGACAAGGTGTGGCTGTACTGCTGGAGCAATGTGTGCCACCAGGCTGTAGATCAGGCTCTATAAGAAGATCATACAGAAAGTGGTACAAAAGGTTTATTATGAATATAACTATTTAAATGATAAATTATGGAACTAAGCCTCTATGATGCTGCCCGGGCCGAAGTGCTGTACACACCAAAAGCCATTTTGCACTTGAACTTCACACAAAAGGTCTGAGCTGCCTATAGATGCTACAACACGGGAGCAGTACACAATTTACAGACCTGCACTGTCCTCTCAGTCACTGTTGCTCCTCTGGCAAGGGTTCTGTCTACGCCACTTGACAGCTCTGAGTTACACAGTGTTAAATCCAGAATCTTGCTCTCCAAGTAATCATTTCATCCCTTACAACTTGCCAGTAATCTATTATCCATCAGGAGAATTAGCATGAAATATTAAGCCAAGCATCAGAGGGGGAAGAGAGAGAAATTATGGAGGTGAGGGGAGGTGGGGGCTGCAGACGAGAGAAAAACAAGAATTTCATCTCAAGACAATGAGGTAATGAGAAGTGATGTGAACAGGAGGGGAGGGGTGGGGGTAGGTAGCATGATCAGAGAGGTGCGAGAAGAACTACAGCTTCATGTCTGCTGAGGAGACAGGACAGGGGAAAAACCAAAACTGGATCATTAAAGGTGTAGAATTACAGTTCAGTACATGACTATGGGTTAGGTTTTTATTATCTTACTTAGGAGGCTGGTGAGCTGGGATATACATCTAGAATGATTTATGTCCTAAAGACATACAGGTAATTAAATCCTGGCTATTAACACGCATTAACAATTTTTGGGGGGTGTTTTATATTTGATTTTTATCCTTTTTATTTAGAACCATTCACATACCCCCTCCAAACCAACTTACAACTTTTTGGGATAGTGTGATAAGTGTTGGCGCCGAGGTTCAGTGGCCCCATCAGGAACTCTTCAAAATATGGGGAAATCCTTTGACAGTTGTCACTAGAAGAAGTTGGGCAATCTCTTCTACATTTCTTCCAAAGACAAGTGTAACATTTTAGATTCCCCCTTCCAGTGTCCATGGTCAACAAGTCAAACAGTAACCTCTCCCCAACAAGGTACAAGAAGATGTTGCCCACCACTTGTTCACCATATGTATACTTTGTCATCCGACAGCCAGCATGGTAAAGTCCCCACCAATTATGCACCTCTAACGCATTTCACCCTAGAGGCTAAGTTGTAGAGCTATCTCTGACTAAGCCTGAAACACATTAGAGGTGGTTGCCTACTAGGAGAGGACTTTATCATGCTGGCTGTTGGATAAGAGAAAGTATATGTATGGTGCACGAGCAGTGTGCGGCATCTTCTTGAACGGTGTTACTTCGAAGCGTGAACAGCTCCTGGCCAGCACCTGGGGTGGACCCGGGTGGCAGAGCTTGATGTGGGATGGATTGGTGAGATTTCCCAACAAGGACACCAAAAGTAAAAAAAAAATAAACCTGACAGATGCTCCATTTTCCCATTTTCCCCTACCCAAAACTCTACACCACATTTAACATTTTGGGCCAGTTATGAGAGGGAACCAGACAACATACCCAGAGTTTAATCTCGTATAAACTTTGAAATAAATCAGTATTTCAGCAATCTGAA